AATTCATCTTCCATTTCAGCAAAGCATGAAGATGAATTAATTTAATAATTAATAATTAATAATTAATAATTAATAATAATTAATAAATTAATGAAGATGAAGTAATTTGGCACTGCATAATTGTATGAATGGAAACCCAAAATAGATCTTGCAGTTAATCATCTCAGAGCGTGATGTTATACTTATGTATACTTCCAGGGAAAAGGCCTTTCTGGATTCAGGGGTCTACCTGACAAGAAACATGGTAATAGCTATAGATCTAATGAGATGATCTAATGAGGTTTAAAGAGAGAGGGAGTTCAATCATGGTGATGGTGGAAAGTGCCCAACAGTCAATTTCTTTCCCATATTTCAATATGATCTCCTGGAAGCTGTTGGATTTTCAGTAAACAGTTCAGTGCTAAAGAGGTCTTTCCAAAACAATCATATGCCTTCCTTCCCGGTGGAGATAGGATTGCAGACTTTTTAGTTTCGTAGCATTTTATTGTATCCCACCAAACTCATTAAATACTAGAATGCAGTCTCTGTTGCTAAGGTGAAACACTTAAACTATTTAGATTTAAAGTATGACCCGCTTCTGAAACAAACACATGGATCTTAAGATGAGAGTTAACATAAATTCAACTACAATGCAAATTGATTTACATTTCCAGGTCATTTGTCTACTTAGACTGAACTAGTGATTTCAATATTTTTTAATTTAAAAAATTTAAAGTAAGTGAATAAGATATTAACTCTAATAAACTTATTAGGACCAGAGAAAAACAGATCCATTCAAACACACAGTTACAAGAAAACAGTTGCTCTAATGAAGTAAATCCCACTGGACACATGGGAATGACTTCAAAGTAAACTTGTTGAAGATTATGCTGTTATCATGAATTTAAATATAAACTATTAACATCTATTAACATCAGCATTACAAATATCTGCTAAGAAGTTCCTCACAATGAGTTCAGTGGGGGTTAATTCTACATAAGTGGATTCAGATTTGCAATCTTCTTTACTTTGTGCCTTGAAATAAAGTAACAAGAACATCTTTACCTATAATTAAAATGAGTGAGCATCTCAGTTCTAAAGAAAGTTTCTTACGGTGTAATCTCATGCATCTCTATTCAGAAGAAAGCCTCTTGAAGTTCACACAGAATTGTATTTGTGCCTCTAGATGCAAAATATTGATTTAAGCAATGAATTACATGAAGGTAATGGTCAATGGGAGAACAAAGTAACCTGTCTGAGGGTGTGTGAAAGAAATGCACAGCAATGGGGAAACAGCATTGATGTAAACATGAGTTTTAAGAGAAAATCATTCTTTTCAGGAGCAATACTGACTTTCAGAGAGGCCCTTTTATTAGAAACTTGTATTTTAACTAGCAGCGTGTGATTTGTAAATGCTTTGGAATCCAGATAATCCATTAGGTGTTTGAATGTTTGCAGATTAATCTGTTTCCATGAGTACCCCTGCCTTTCCCCAGTGAGAATGCCTGGCTTTCTACATTCATGCTTTGCCCTCCTTTGGCTTCCCAACACGCCAGTCTTGAAAGTGCTCTCCCAGCAGCAGACAACCAGGCCAGGGCCCTTCTTCGTACCTTCAGAGCAGGGGCCTCTCAGCGGGGACCGTTTCCACTAAAAATTGGCAGCAGTCATTCCCACCATTCTAAGGCAGACAACACAAGGTAACTCAAATATAAGCCCTTAGAAACAGCCTGTAAAGTCCCCATGGAAAGTTACAGCTATGTAACTAATCTTTTACTTGCTTCTTTCCTGCTGGGAGAGAGAATGCAGGGTATTCAGAAAGTGGAGGAAGTGCAATATGTATGTGTAAATGATGGTGATGATGGTGATGGTGATGGTGATGACTGAAAGATAAATGTAAGTGTTGAATTCATAAGGGAACAACTAGCCTAGGCACCATCTTGCACCTAATCCATAGCAATCTTTCTCAACCAGATATTTCAGTGTTGGAAGTGCAATTCCCAACAGTCAGCAAGCTGGGAATACTGGGAGCTGTAATCCCAGTGCATCTGGATGATGTCAAACTGGACAAGATTGATCTACATCTGGGAGATGATTATCATTTACTAGTATCAGTACATCAATCTATTTTTAAAAGCTAATGGGATAAGGGGAGAGGTTTCAATTTAGAATAGATGTCAACTGATCATTGGGGAATGGAATGAAAAATTCTCCGGGGCTTTCACAGTCAGTGGTGCGGCACACGTCAAGACCAGTTGCTTTGTGGACTGTCATCTCCTGCAGTGCAAGCTACTCCTCTGCACTGAATATGGACAGTGTAACACAAAACAGCCCAGGAGTACTTTAACTCCAAAGTCTGAAGTGGGCACACCCAAACAAATCACAGAACTCTTTAGTCTGAATGAATGTCACAGGCATGCCCACAGACTCACACTGCGTGGTGGGCTTGCTGGGGTCAGTAAAATCTAAGCAGACATCAGTTGCTTAACACAATTTTTTTTATGCTTATGCTAACAGACTAATCCCAATAGGCAAGGTCCATGTTTGTGTGGGTTACTGATTCTCTTACTCCCAGCACCTGTGTAGTCCTTCCTTCCACCTACCTACTGTAATCCTACAGATTTCAGCAAGAGGCCAATGGATAGGAATTCTGCACAGCGGGATGCTTGCTAAGTAAATAATCAGAATCAGCAGGTTTCAAGTCATACGGGCACCTGATAAGTAGCCTGTTTTGCAGGAGGATGGAGTATAAAAACCCAAATCCCACTAACTTGGAGCTGCTGGTAGAGTCTCCAATTCTGCATGCACAATGGCTCCCTCTTCTCTGCTTTTCTTTTGCTTGGCTACAGTGGTGTATTTCATTGAAGCTGCACCAGTGGTAAGTATTGTTTAAGCAGCACAGCTGATTAATGAGGGCAGACAGAAAAGTGCCTTTGCTTGCAAGTATTATGAAATAATTGCCATAGAAAAATCCATAGCATTAACTGCATCTTTTGATGGTCACTTTTTTAACCAAAGTATTTTAGGCATAAATTTCTTTCAAATAACTGAAATAATCTAAGGTAAAAAAAATAATCTAATGTGTAAAATAATGTGCATTTTTTTCTTTTACACATTTTTAGAATATATTTATTTTTAGTAACACGTTGCAATTGTACTTAAAAGGATTTAAGATGTTGGCACAAAGATTAATATCTTACATGCTGAAACAAATCCCACAAGTAAATCTGTGAAATGTTTACATTGCATTTCTAGATTAATACAGTGAAATTGGTTCACCGTAGTTCAGCAGAGGTCTGAAAAAAGCTTGTTATCAGGATTTTGTATGACTGTGTGCTTGCATATGTTCTAAATATTAATTTATAAACAGTATCTCAAAGTTGTATTCTATGCCTATGCTAGTTTAAATGTCACTTATACAAATTCTTAGCTCAAATTAAGGGTTCCCCAATATCACCACCACCACAAAAAAAAAAACCTTAAAAATGCATGAATAAAGCAACGTCTACCATTCACAAAACAAGCTGTGTACTACCAACATTCTAATAGAAATCTCTTTTGCTATATTAAGGGATCCCATAGTTCCGTTGACTCTAAGTGTCCTCTGATGGTGAAAGTCCTTGATGCAGTTCGAGGTAGCCCAGCTACCAGCCTCCCAGTAAAAGTATTCAAAAAGGGTGAAGATGGGACTTGGAAGGAGTTTGCTAATGGGTAAGACCACATGGAAAGTATCTGGGGAATCTGTTAATCATGCTGTACAGTATTTTCCTCTCAAATGGAATGTATTAACAACACAAGCCTATTAGCCACAAGCTTTCATTGCTTATTATTTTTGAAGGATTGTAGATCCAGTCCTCAGAACAGTGCCATTTTAGCATGGTGATGGCACTATCTCCTCTCAAACCCTGATTCAGTGAGGAAGTAGGTACAACAATGGGATGTGAGTTCTTATTTGTTTATATGAATCATCATACTCACTACTTTTTTTAGCAATGTAACTCATGGTAAGAACATTTTAAATTTAATATAGTCAGACATTTCTGTATGTAATGATTCTCAGAAGAACCCTGGAAGCTATATGTGGTATAACAATCCTCACCATTCTAGAAAATCTGGAGTTCTATCAAGTAGTTGTAGATAGATGGGCAGTACAGTAGTTGATCAGCTTTAATTTGGCCTTATAGATGATTTTTTTTTCTTTCAGGGTAAAAAAGATTTGAACAGATTCAGAAAATACAGTGTGACCTAACATTAAAACTTCACATACCTATTTAGAAGTAAATCTGAATGCTTTGCTACCAGGTAGTTGGGCATATATCTTAAATATAAGCACTTCTGATTAACTTACATGGTTTTTTTGTTTCCCTTAGTCTCAACTCCAAAGCATTATGAATGTTAGTTCAACATCCACATATAGAATTATCCCCTCTGCATTTGGTTTCCCCATTAATTGAAGACAAAAGTTAATTCTCCAGATATAGCACTTTGGAGCACTGGCAATTTTGATGGGAGTCCCATTCTTTTCAGTGTGTATGTTTTAAATATGACTAACTCTGAATCCAACCCATGATTAGAATAAACTTATATGCCATTTGCTTTCAGTAAAGCTGTTGACTGTGTCACTCTCATATATTTATTTAAGGAAAACAAATGATTTTGGAGAAATCCATGAGCTTACAACAGATGAATTCTTTATAGAAGGCTTGTACAAGGTGGAATTTGACACTAGCTCATACTGGAGGGCACTTGGCGTTTCCCCATTTCATGAATATGCTGATGTGAGTATTTGGAAATAGTAAAATATAAGGTAAACCACTGGTGAAAAATTGTTTTATCCCGAATGCTTAATTCCTAAGTATTATGGTGCAGTTTGATCCATTCAACCACATTCAATAATTCCTGCTATTAAGTAAGCATAATGTTTGGGAAGGGGAGAAATGTAAACTGAAGTCCTTGGTAAGTTTAAACTTCAAGACCATCTATGTTTATTCAAAAATACCAAAGATTCACAATATTCATTAAAATGTGTGCACTTTCCTACGTGCATATGTGTCTGTTTTTATTTGATCTCCATATCCAGCTGGATTTAAAAGTGTGGTAAGTGTATTTGCAGTAAAATAAAGTAAAGGTAAAATTTCAGAATGAAAGAGAACGAACAATAGATTTCCTTTAATATCAGTCTATCTGTCTTTAGCACTGCTCACTTTCAGGTCATTGTGTTAACTAAAACATTCCCAAACTCCTTTTTTTTTTTTCTTTTTTCATTTTACAGGTGGTTTTTACTGCTAATGATTCTGGTCATCGTCATTACACTATCGCTGCTCTTCTTAGTCCTTTCTCTTATTCAACCACAGCAGTTGTCAGCGACCCAAAGGAATGAGACCGTGCATAATTCATCCAAAATTCTCTCTCTTACACTTGTGTAGCAATATTTTAAAGGAAGTAGTTAATTTGTACTATCAATGGCTTGTTTCCTACAATAGCTTGTAATAGCTACTACTTGGCTAATTTTTAAAAAATGCATCAATAAATATTTCTTCTCTAAGTATTTATGTGTATGCATCAAACACAATACAGTTCTGCTTAAAGAAATATGAAATACTTTTTTTTTTCCTATGTTGTATTCAGCAGCAGGCTCTAAGACATTCAGCAAGCACCAGTTTGTGAACAATTGTGATTCTTCCTTTGCTTCATTTATATCTGTTCAGAATTTGTCCTGTTCCCAGCCAAGTAGTAAGGGTAGCTGGAGAGAAGCGGAGCCACTGGCACAGGGTAACATTTATCTGGAACAAGGAGGAGAAAGATCTTTAGGCATAGCACAGCAGCTTTTTCCAGCCTGGTGTCCTTCCAGTGTGTCTGACTGTCATTTTATCAATCTCCCAGCCAAGATGTGAAGTAAAGACAATGAATGACTTGAGATTGGTCATGTGCTCTGAAGAAAGAAATTATCCTTTGCTTGGTAAAAGGAAAACTGAGGGAGACAAAACATAAAAAGACAGGAAGATGGAGCAGATGGAAAAACCAGAAATTGAAAGGCATTGATAGGATGTCATCCAAAGGACTGCACAAAACATGGGAGGGTTAAGGCTATCCACTAGAAAGAGAAAATGGCAAAGTATGTGCAAGTGAAAGTCAGTATATTCAGACTGGTGATTCTGAATGGAAGACCTGTGGATTTGTGATTAAAGACAGGCTCGCCTCTCTGGCTTCAGGCCAAATTCTGGGATGTATTTCTTGGCATTTAACTTCTTCAGCTGACTTTCCTATGAAATGGGTTTTATTGAAACAGAGTGGCTTCAGAAGAAGGGTTTCGTGTTCTGAGGTTCAGACCTAATCTCTGCTTTGCATTCTTGTGCCAGTTCCCTTTCTGTGATACCACAGTACATGTGGTTAGGCACCACAGAGCCCATTTTGTTAACTTTCACCTCTACGGCAGTCATTCTGCAACAGCATCCATGACACTTTCTCAAGGTTCTCATCCCAAGAGCCCCCAAAGATTAGAGGTATGGTTAAAAACAAAACCATAGTCTATAGCAAATGGTATTTTAGAAAAACAGTGGATTTAAAAAATATTTTAATGATTAAAATAATAGGCGATAGCATAATTCTGTACAGTACTCAGAATTTGTTAATACATTTAATGTGCTTCTTACCCCTGAAAAAGTAAAATCAGATTAAGTACACTTCCCCTCATATGCTATGAGTACCATTCTCATCATTTATATATAAATATCAAACTACGTTTCAGTCAATTGAAGAACAGAACCTAAAATCCAAGACAAAAAGATGATAACACTACAGATACATCAGTCGCTCATTTTAGCCTAAAATATAGTGTTGAGGGAACTAAGGAACAATCTAAAGCAATTAAGGTTTTCATTAACTAAAAGCAAGTTCTCCAAGCTGAATTTCAGCTCCTAGTGATTTCGTCAACACACACATGAACTTTTCATGGCAGCACCACTCGTTCAGCAACTGTTCAAAGTTATGACAGCTCTGAATGAGACTTAAGACCAGTCCTCGAAGTTGCAACCATTGCAGCATCTGCAAAGTCACATGATCATGATTTGTGTTTGGCAACTGGCACATATTTATGATGGTCACAGTGTCCTACAGTCACATGATCACCATTTGTGGCCTTCACTGCCAGCTTCTCATAAGCAAAGTCAATGGGGAAGTTGGCAAGAAGTCTCATGTCATGGTCATGTGACATTGTGCTTAATGACTGTGGGTGATTCACTTAATGACCATAACCAGAACTGATGAACTGCTGTTGTACATCAGGCACAGTCATGTGATTTTACACTTTATGACCTTGTTGCTTAGCAACGGGGCTGCCTGTCCCAACTGAAGTCAGTAAGTGAGGACTACCTACACAGAAGTGATTTGCTATTGTCTTCTTTTTTGATTGGAACTTTCCCATTCAAGCACTAACCAGGACTTGCTCTACTTAGATAGTAAGCTTAGACTAGGTCAGCAGCAGACTACCACTTACTAGGCCTTCAGTATTTGCATGATTTTTATTGCTTCAACTGAAATATATTTATTTATCTTACTCTTGAAAAATCTATTCTAGAGGGCATTCTGTCCAAAGCCAGAGAGCAAAACCAGGCTGTCAATGGTTCTACATTATGAGGTCATAAAGAAAGTGAATGGCTCCCAGCTCCAAGTGCAAGCTAATTTAAAGGATCATGGCATATAAAGATCTATTACAGAATGGTATAATTGAGCAGGAAAAGGCATGCATTATATCTTGTTGTTGTTTTTTCCTGGCAGGTTAAAAATGTAATTTCAAAGGCGTATGCGCATATGCACATCCCCATATATACTTTTTCTAAAACGTATGCATCAAGTTGGCAATATTTAAGACAAGCCTTTCCATTCAAACCATGTCACCATATTGAATTAGGATAGGATGTTATAAATACTATGTTTAGCTTTGTAAAAATCCATTAACTGGGAATTGAGAAAAAGTGTACAGAATATGGTATCTAGATTTAAAGGTAAAGGAGTTTTTGCATGCTTGATTCATGTAATTTAATCAAAATTATGCATTATCAGCAACATCTTTCCATTTTAATCTCTTCAAGTTGCAAATTATTTGGAATGATAGACATCACTTTTTATATTTAAAGAGCAGCCTATAATCAGTTGTTATGCTGAGGCTGTAAGCAGAAAACAAAGATAAGTAATTTTGTTATCCCAAACAATGCAAGACATCTGCAGAAGAACTAATCCATAATGTAAATGAGATCTGTATCCATTTTACTCTTGTTGTAGATGTTGAGCAATGTATTTTCCATTCTGAAAGGAAAAAGAAGTAATTCTTTGGTTCTCAAATTTTTTAATCTTGATTCATAAGTACATTCAACATTGAAATGCCTATATTAGAACAGAGTGATTCACTCTGTGAAGATAATTGCTCAAGTATTCAAAGAATAGTATTCATAAAAAAGGATGCTATATGTCAATCATCATCCAGTCCAATAAAAACTAGAATGAGACATACCTCAGTTATGTGTACTGGGCACAAAAAAAACCAAGATCAAAACAACTTTGTAAAATGGTGGGCATGTTCACCCCATGTAGAAGTCATAAACAGAAGAGTCTTAGCTTGTTGCAGAAAATGCACTGTTTACAAAGGAAGGGAAAAGTTTTAATACTGATGGCAATTGGTTTAGGATGAATTTCAAGATATTTCTCCTCAGGTTGACTCCAGTTCCAATGACTTTCAATGAGAAAAAAATTGACCAATGATAATTACTCTGAACATTCCACTTGTTACTCATATAAAATCTTTCCACCATCACTTCCTCCCATTAACATTCATTCGTCTTCTAATTCATTACTCCTTTGATTTTGGATGGAATGATGATGTTGTTTATTACAAAAATCCACAAAAGAGCAGTATGAAAATAGACTAGTTAGATATAAATCTGACGTTAGCACTACTGGCACATCAAGAACGATAATGAAATGCAACATCATGAATAGATTCCCATGCATGCAATATGCCTGAATGATATTCTTTCAAGCATGTTCAGGGAACTGCCCTGGTAATAAGTAGAATAAAGATTGAAAGATTATTTCTCATAGGTTTGGTGGCAAAATCACAGGTATACATGGTATATAGAAGGGCTGTAGCTCAAAATTAGCATAAAAGTTTATAGTAACAACCAATATTTATAAATCAGCCTATAAATCATTCAAAATCTTTGTCTAGATTCAATTGCATACATTTCATGCCTAAATTCTGGAAATACTGAACACAAATACTTCCAAAACATGCAGAATGCTACCATAGTCAAAAGCCTGATATTTTTAACAGATATTTATATGATATGGAAACATTAAAAAAATAATTATTATAATTCATTGAATGCATGCTTTCTTAGAGAAAGAGATTTTCCTGATTTCTAAGCATGCTACATTTGTTATCTACAGAAAAGCTAACAAGGCTTGAATACTTATTAGTTTCATAATGTGAAACATTCACTAATTGACACATGATTGTGCAGTCATTTGACTTTTTAGAAATACCTGATTTAGTATTTTTCCAGTGTTACAAAGTTTTGATCCAGTAGTTTATTCTGCTGTTCCATCAATAATCTTGAACAGGAGCTAGTTCTGGTACCAGGTTTACAGTGATATTAGTATACAGTTTACTGGCAAGAATAGATGGCATATATACTAGATTATTTAAACCATCAATAAATTGACGCTCTCGTGAATATCTTAATAGTTTGTATCTGTGGAAAAAAATATTCAGAGCATTGACAAAAATGTAGAAGGACATGTCATTTTGCACAACAACGAAATATTTTCAACCTCAGAACGAAACCAACAATTGTTTTGAACCCAAACTGAACACAAGTAAAAGTTCAACAAACATTCTACAAAAAGCACACTGGATAGATTTTTGCAGAATATTCAGCAAAAACATTTATTCTGCAATAAATACGCTGGACAGATTTTTATGCAAGCAAAAACCTTATCAAGATGGATAGGTCCTAAACTCAAGCAGAGCTGGAAGATATCATGTTGGAAAAGGCTGCTTTAAAAATACACAAACATGTCCACACATCATATGATATCATAATACTTAGCAAATGCAAGAACTTTAAGATGTCCTATGAACACCTATTCGGAAATAAATTCCAGAGTTCAATGGGGCTCACTCTCAGTTGGACACCACTCTTCTCCTCGAAAGAGAGAAAATGAAGAGCTGAAGATGGGGACATTGGACAGCATCCTGCAAAAGCAAATCTAATTCTTTGCAGAAAAAACAGGAGTGTCCTACTGGCACCTCTATTGTGTCTATGAATGCTAATCATCTCAAAGTGATCGCAATAATTCCTGCTACCTTCTTTATTATTTTAACAAACAGTACAATAGCAACAAAAGTAATTGGAAAGTCCGACTTCCAACAATTTATCCCCAGCTACACTACTCTCTTCTTTTTTTTATGCTCAGAATATGCATTGAGGAATGGTTAAAAAAATATGATTGATACTTTGAATATGCAAGTTCTCTGTTAAAAAGCATTAGTTCAGTTCCATTTGCAATTCTAGAATTGTTGCATAGTAGTTTTTTTTTTTTAATTTTGACTGATTTAAACCAGGACAAGACCATGGCTGATCAGACAGAATATGGAATTTAGTCAGTCAATACTAGTCTGAATCAAAAGAACTGTTCTCACATATGAGTTATTTGCATGAGCAAAATTACATTGCAAAAGCAAGCTGGTTTAAAGTTATACAGTATTTCCTTATCTTCCAGGGGAAAGCATTTTTTTTCCACAGGAAAAACATGCAACATTGAGTTGGTAGTTCTGATATTATGGCTTAAGAGACATCTTTATCTTTGATTATTGTGAGCCACCCAGAGTCATTGAGAGTCGGGCAGCACAGAAGTTTAATAAATTGTTGTTGTTGTTATTGTTACTGTTATTATCTGCAGCAAGCTGAAATTTCATCAAAATGATATTAAATGTGCTCCCTTTATATAGTTGCATGTAACATGATGACCCAAATACATAATATAGCAGGAGTTTGTGACAGAACATCATGTCACATATTTCATAATTTGCCTCCCTTTGCCCACTCTGCAGAAACACATATTTCACTGGTATTACCTAATTTTCTTTTAAAATTTGGCTGCTGGCATATTATCACAGCAATCTATTCCAGACTTTGCTGAACCATAAGGGCATTGTATCAAACTAAATATAGTATTCAAGCAGAGAGAGTTCATCATTTATAAACTGGGAATAATAATGAATATTCTATAGTGGAATTTTTAAGAAATATTCTGAATGCTAAAATGTTGCATATGAGTAAATGAATCAGTTATGTTTAACTACCAGAAACACAATATTACAGTAAAAATACAAACTTATTTTAACATTTTCATCCTCACCGTCCTAAAAATTGAACTTCTCCTCTGTGGTGATGAGGAATTGACTTATACTTTCCAAGTTCTCCTTCTGGTCTTGTCACATTAAATCCTACAGAGTGTACCCTATAATTCAAATAATTAACTTGTGTAAGAAGAAAACACTTTGAAATATAATCTCAACAACAGAAATCAGAGACAACTTTATAAATAAAAAGTGTCCTATGTTTGGTGGGACAGGGAGGTTCCCACAGTTGATTTCATGGCTTTTTAAAATAGTTTTAGTTATTAAAAGAAGAGGAAAAGATACCAATAGAAGAGAATATGGGTAGCTCAGGGTTGAACTGTGGAGTCCCTGGGGTTCTCTCAGCTTGGTCGTTTTCTTGCAGACGCTTTGTTACCCATCTAGGTAATATGTTCAGTGCTAAAAGGGGGTGGGGTTTACAATGGAGCTCACTGCTCCACTGTAATTCACACTGTCCCTCCTGGGCATGTAATCAGTGTAGAGCTATTATCAAGGGGTTGGAAATGAACCACAGATCATACTCTGTGTCCATTCCCTATTTTGTTAAACATAGTCTTTCCATTACATCAAAAACAACACAAAGAAGCCAGTTCACATGTAGGGAGCAAATATTTGTCATCAATCCATAACTGGAAATCTGAGATAAGGAACCCTTTTTTGTTATGGCCATGAGAAATTCCACATTTTGGGTATATAATTCAGTATCACATTCACATTTAAGCCGTATTACTGATGCAAAACCCACATTTAAAAAGTATGAAAATTAAACCAAAATGGGACAATGGAGGAGCAAGCCTATATCATATGCTATGTCCCCTCCAATATTTATTCTTCTACTATAATGAAGTTGATAGCAAACTCTTTTTAAGCATTTCCTGAAGTGTCCTATAAACATGATTTTTGGGGGGAGGGGTGGTTGAATTAGCCTAATCTGAAGATCATAACAAATATACTTAATATTTTAAGGTCCTTAACCATTGATTTGTCAGTATATGGTATTTCAACTTCTTTTTCAAAATCTCTTGCAAATATTAAATAAAAAATAGCAGGTTGGAAAGGAATCACAGATACACGCAATCTAATGATTCAAATACTTTAAAAACCCAATTGGCAGTAAATTGAGCTAAATATCCCTAGTAGCCCCTGCGTACCAAAATAGAGATTTACCAGCAATTTTCAAACTGATATCATCCTAGAGGATAAGTTTATTATGTGAATAAGTGTCAAAATTATACTTCCATCCCAATATGTGTCAAATATGACCTGCAAATTTATACTTAAAATGATTGATGGCTAAAAAATTGATGCTTAAAATGCAACTGAATTTTGACTACGGTTTTTTTTAAATGGAATATGGCTCATCTCTTGAGCTACACAGAAAAATAAGATGTGCAAAGTTTCCTAATACGTGGACACCCAACCAATGGTTTCTGCAGGGGGGATAAGGAGGGTTAGACTAGCAAAAATAGTGTTGTGTTGCAAGTCCCACCCTTTTTCTGCATGTGCCACAACATCATATGCATGCTCAATGGGCAAAGCATGTCGCACGATGCCACAATGTTTTCATCATTCTGACAGAAGTGACAAGATCCAGGAGACACTGTTGCACAGAACTCTGTACAGTTCTAGCCATTGGTTTTTAACTTACATGTATTTGTAATTATGTATATTTTATACACCAATTGCTGGAGGAGAGAGAACACTTGGTTCAACTTGTTCATCTAATGACAGAATTCCTAGCTATATGAATTTCACATATGTGTGACTGATTTTGACTGACTGAAAAGCAAAATCATAAGCAAAAACACAGTAGCTAATATTTTAGGAGTAGAAAGTTGGAAAAGAAGTAGCCATTAGCCAATCAGCAGGAAAACTAAGAAAAATACATACATTTTCCACTGTGCTAGCTTTAAGTTCCATTAGATAGATCCAGAGACATATGCTAACAAGGAATTCCTTTACCTATGAGCTGTTGTTTAAAGCTATTCAGTATTAGCCAATTACTTTTATGAGTGGGTCCAATAGGTCTATACATCTCATGCCAGCAAAAAAGAGCTTGGATATTACTCTCCCGTTTATCCTACATCTACTTTGAATCCTCATTTCTTCCATCTGCTATGAGCTGTTGAATTCTGGTCAATGACTTAATAAAGTTAATACAATACAATACAAATACCTGTTCCAAAGGTCATCATCTTCTCCTCCCCATCCCCAGAAAGCATTTGGAAATCCATTGATTTTTTTGAACTGTTCTACTGTTAATCCACTTACACCACCGAAAAATTCATTGTATGGAAGACTGAAAATGAGAGAAGGTAATTTTTATTATGGCTAGGACTTATAAAGATAAAAGAGAAGTCTTCTTTGAGTCAAGCTCAACTCCTGCTGCCTTCATCGAAATATCCATATTGGGCTTTGGGGGGCAGTGGGGGAGGCAACAATTTAGCACCAAACTTGGCTTTAGTACATTTTTATCATTCTTTTTCACTACAAGGGTTTTTGTATCTTACCTATAAATAATTTAGATTAATAAATATATTTAAATCGGTTTAGAATTTTGTAAACGGGTAGTACAGTAGAGAAGGTAATGTTATTTCTGTAAAATAAAGTGTAGCTGTGACTACAGAACAACTAAATAGTGCATTAACAATCTACTTTTCAAGCAGCAGAGGTAAAAAAAAAAAATCACACTGGTGGGCAGTGAAAGAGTATCTTTAACATACTTCGTAACATTTTAAGACTGTCTTTTTCCTAAATAAGAGAACTTGCTCTTTGTAAATGCTAGAAAAAAGGGGAAAATAAAAAGAATAATATAAAGGGACAGAATACCAAACATGGAGAAAAAGTGAGAAAAACAGATACTCGGGACAGCCACAGACTGAATGTGCAGTTAGTTGAATCAGAAAGGCTAGGAGTAAGATAAGAAGCAAAAAAACCAAACTGAATTGCTGCCAAACTCAGCATATGGGACAGGTACTGAGGTGGGAGAAAAGAGGAATCAAACAAAAACACAGGATATTTGTGGGAACAACATTTAGCAATGGGGTGTTGGAATGAGAGTGGGGAGACCCAGGTTCTTGTCCCCCTTCAACCATGAAAGCTCATGGGGTGACTTTGGGCACTCACTCTCTTAGCCCAAGGTTACTTGTTATGGGGCTAAAATGGGTGGAGGTCTAGGTGTACCATTCTGAACTTCTGAACAAAAGGCAGGATATAAATCTAACCTATAAAATTAAAATAGATTATTTCAGTGCTATAATTGGACTTCCTCCTACTCTTTGCATACTCTCCAGTGTGCTCTAGAGCAGTGGTTCCCAGCCCTTTCTGTGCCCCACACCCCTAGGAAATGTTTGATTAATGTTCACACCCCCTACGAAAGTAATATCACATTTGAAGATGTGATGCTCAAGGTACATGGGCACCTGGCTGAGTGATGACTCAGTACTCGTCACTAAGGGACACGAGCCACTCTTTGTCGCACCCCCTGAAATTCCATCTTGCACCCTGTGGGGTACGGGTACCCCAGATTGGGAACCCCTGCTCTAGGGGAAACCTTTAAACAGCAGAGCAGATTTTGGATGTCTGTGGGCTATCACAAGAACTTTAATCAAATTCTTTCTGGTTCTGCTCCTGGATTTCACTGTTTGAATTCACAGTCAAAATTGAACTTTAATGAAATAGGAGAAAAGATATATATAAGATATGTAAATAGTGGTTGCCAGATGTATTGTGTATACTGATACATTTTTATTTACCCTTCTTAAAGCTAATGGTAAGGATTATAAGCATGTGTGTGTGTGTTTGTGTGTGTGTGTGTGTGTATATATATATATATATATAAAAAAAAATAAAATATGTGCATTTTTAAAACTGACATTTCATTTTCTGAACTTGGCCTATATGTTTTCTTTTGTTCCATGAAATATTTGGTAATACCAGTAAATATAGTCATGGAATGTGAGAAATGATTTCAAATATTTTACAAAACTGCTTACTTTGACTAACTGCACAAGATCAGAAATATTGTTCTACATATTACATACATGTACATATACTTATCCAATTTTGCAGCAAAGTGACGTGGCATTTCACCACATCCATAATAATTCCTATCATTTTCTGGTAAATGATCCACATCATGAAAGATTACACAGTCCCAATCACCATCCTTCATAGCTTCTTTGAAGCCAACATTAAACAGCATTGCTCGGTTAAAAGGCTGTGTTCCTATCTTAACAGAATGAAAAACAGAAGAATGAACTGTTAAAGAAAGTTAATTAGAATGTGCAGATTAACTATTGGAACACAGTTACATAATGTTATATAACTACTGAAATCAATGAACCTGAGCTGTGACAGCTTGTCCCATTAATTTTAATATGTCCATTTTAAGTTAAGTATATTATAAGTTTAGATCCAATCCTTGGTTAATTACACTCCTACTAATAGGAGAACAATAGAAACAATATTTTAAAGTTACTCGGTACACACAAGAGAAGACATGGAAGATTCCAATTAAGTTGACATATATAATAATATTTAAAGAGCTTCTTTTGCTGAGCTGGGATTCAAGTTATGGAAGTAATTCTATTTAAAAAAAATTGCCCAAACACAGCAAGAGCATTGCTAAACATACATTGGCAGACACACACTGTTTATTGTTGAATATATTCATCCAAATATGTACAATAATATAATATCTGGACTTGTTCTGAAATAAATTTTTTAAAAAGCTCACCTGTTCAACGACATAAAAAGCAAATTCTAGCCTCTGCTTCTGTAGCACTGGTATTAAGTGTCGAAAAAATATAGGAAGGTGTTCATGACGATTGCGAAAAGGGATGAGTATTGCAACCTTTAAAAACAGAAGCCCATCTGAAAGCTGTTATGCTAGCAGACTGAACTGCAGAAGTAATGCATAAATCTTAAGACAGCTAGTTGCTGGCGGTGCATGGTTCAGGTTATGCAGCATGTCCAATAGCAGAAAATTAATTTTAATTACTTTTCTGCAAATCATTCTATCTGTCTGCTTCATCTGAAGAAAAGTAACCTCAAATTTCAATGACCTCTTAAGAAACAACTTTTTTTTTTATCTTTTACTGCTAATTTTCATGACTTGAAGTACATTGTTGTCTTCTCATTGACATAGCCAACTACCTTCTAGATAATACTTCAGATCATTTCTTGAAACTAGACAGACTGCAATCACCATACCTTAGGTAATGCCTGATTTTAATATATGGTTCTGGTATATCTGAGATAAAGTTATGCCCTATTCCATCAGTTTGTTGGATTAAATCATTGAGAATATAGCCTTTTCAATAGTAGCACCTTAGAAATTTATCTTCCAAAGACTGCCATCTATGTTCATTTTAGTAAATACATGGAGGAACAGTTATTTATTAGTGTTTTTCAAAATGCCATACTCAATGCAACGTGGACAAACACATTTACTGTTGATATAATGGTCCCATTCATTTATGAAATATAGGTTTAAAGACTTCAGTTTTTGCATCCAGAAGGATACATTGGCAAAAGAAGTTGAACTCTCATTTCTTTTCCCCTAGCCCACCTCCAAGATGAGGTAAAGTTGATCTCTTAACTCAGTATTGATTTTCATGTGAAAATCAGTCCTACCCTCAATCCTATCTTACATGACAGATGTGCAAATAAATGCGGTTGTCCTTATCACATTTAGTTATGGTCTGAAGTTTATCACTGGCTAATTATTTGGATTCTACCTAAACTGAATACTACCAAGATTCTTATAGAGACAGGCAGGCAGGTAAAAAAGATATATTATTCTGTCTTTATTCTAGCATGCTTTTCAAACTGCAGTCCATTATGAGCTTCTTATATGGATGAAAAATAAAGATAAATTATACATAAACATGTATAATTGAAGATATATTCCAACCAATTCCAAACTTTAAGAAAATCACACAGGTCCTAGATTACTAGAAAAATAACTGTATCTTACCTTCCAACGTGGTTTACAGTCTTTTGGCTTCCAGTGACCACCTGGTTCAATGTCTAAATCTTTAGAAAACATCTGTTGGATTTCATCCAAACTAATTTCACTCATATTGGCTTCAATAATGCCTCCTAAGTAATGGGAAGCATAATATAAATTTTGATTAAGATTTCCCCCACTTTTAAACCTAAGGTGTGTAAATGACATAGATAGTATTATATTTAACAGCCAGTAATATGCTGATATCTGACACAGGTTTTCAAATGCTGCCACATAAGATAGTTAAGAAAAAGAGAATTTCTCTTGTCAGGTATAAAAAAAACCCCTATGCTTAAACACAAACCCATAAGAAAGGAATACATTAATGAAATAATAGTTAAATATACAAACAGTGGATCTGAAATTCAAATTAAAATCCGAAACACTGAATGTGTCATTATATCTCCTGACTTATGAGGCAGAATGAGACCTAAACAACACAGCATAATGTGTGTATTTTGCCACATGCAAGCAAGTGTTAAGATTTACGCACCAAAATGAAGCTGAGGTGCATTTTTTTAAACATGCACCAAGGAACACAGCCAGCTCTACCACATAGCAAAATACATTCCTTTCCTTTTCCGTCTTTCTTTTTTACTTTATTATCATTGCAAACATTGGCCTTGTTTAGCCAAATCACACTTTCGTTTCCAATTTGCTTCTCCCCTTCCTAAAGTGCTAAAGAGATGGCCAGCATTTGTTTCAGTTTTCAACTAACTGTACTTTGGTGCTCTATCTAAACCAGTGTTTCTCAACCTTGGCAACTTTGCCAAGGTTGAGAAACACTGATCTAAACAAATGTAAGATTGGTTAAATCAAAGTTTATTCTTTAAACCAGTATCATAAATCATGACTTGGAGCTGGCTTTTACAAATAAAACATACCAAAACTAACACGTTTTGGTCCCCGTTCAGATACAATGCAAAGCTGGTTTGTTGAAAATAGAACTAATATTTCCTAACCTCCTTAGGGCAAGGAAAAGGGGAAATGCCGTTCATAGGCCTGAAACTCATTTTAATAGCAAGGGTGTGGGCAACCTTTGGGGTCAGTGTCACATTTTAAATTTTGAGAGTATGTGATGGAAATGCTCACAAAACGGCTGTTACTGGGGAACATGGTACAGCTGACTATAAAAAACAATTTAGTAGAAGGCACATCTGTGAGTGTATTTCTTGACCCTCAATATAGCCTATAGGACTATCTCTACCATCCAAGCTTAGCACTTTTTTTTTTTTTCCTGAGAAGGCGGACATACTTCCAAATAAAGCACTGAGTTCTAGCCATCCATCATTTTTGTTTTCTAAGAATACTTAAGGGGGTTGTGTGGGGCTTCAACCCATTCCTGCACTTCCAGGCTGCAAGTGACACAGCCCTGATTGGGAAGGGTTCACCTGCTTCTTCTCCCCTTCCACCCAGGCCAGGAAAGAAAGTGCCAACTGTATGTCTTTTGAGGACTGTTTTTCTAAAAAAAAAAAAAAAAGTTTTAAAATCTTTCCTGTCATTTGGGCTAGAAGGGGGACTTGGCAAAACTCTTGCCAATTTCACCCATAAAAAAAAATTAAATGCATGTAGTCCTCTAGTTAGGAAGGTAACTGGAACCGGAATGTCCATCACTAAGTGATGCTGTTGTAAAGGGTGACGTCACATGACTGTCCATTAGCAATGGCAGTTCTGGGAGTTCCTGTTGCTGTTGCGAAGCAAGGACCACAGATTATTAAGCAAAGACCTCACGTGGCTGCGACTTGCTACTTCTTGTCGGCTTCCAACAAGCAAAGTGGATGAGGAAGCCAGCAGGAAGTTGCAAGTTGCAGTCACAACAAGCCTTTCCTTCTTAAGCAGGCCGGCAGGCAAGCGCTATGAATAGGCAGCCAGATGGGTGCCATGAGCAGGCGCGAGTGTGGGCAGGTGGGTGAGCGGGTGCTACGGGGAGGCGGGAGTACAGGTGATTGCACAGGTGGCTGTTACGGGTGGGCACAAGTGCAGGTGGGCACAATGGAGTACAAGATCCCCCTGCCACCCAGGAGCTCCACAGTAGAAAAAGCAGTGGGAGCAGGAACAACTTGCGGGAGTGACTTGTGACCTCCTGCCAGCTTCTCCATTGACTTTGCTTGTGGAAGCTGGCAGGGAAGGTTGCAAATTGTGATCATGTGACTGCAGGAAGTGCCTAAATCGCAATCATGTGACTGTGGGAACACTGTGATGGCCGCAATTTTGAGGACCAGTCATAAGTCCCCATGATTCCACACAGTTGCAGCTTTGAATTGTCACTGAATGAATGGCTGTAACCCAACGACTACCTGTAGCCAGCATTTCAGATTCTCTCCTGAACCTATTGCAAACAAACAAAAAAGGGTCAGCATTTCACCATTCCACGATTGAACCCCTGAAAACAGGAACCAAAGGCCCAGCCTTTCCTGGGAGCCATGCCAGCAGACCAGTACAAAATGGTGGTCAAAGACAAAGAGCAAGGACTGGGGCAGGCAGAGCATTCAATGGGCAACTGGAGGAGGAATATTTGCTTCATGTGGAATGAAATGCAGCAGGTGGACCAGATGGCTCTCCTTGCTTCAGCAGAGGGAGAAAAATTCAGCTTTTGAGGTAGAGCAAGAATATTTGGGTGGTGGTCACTTTTCCAGCAGCCTGGAGGAAGGCTGAGGAGCAGACAATGTCATCTGTCCCTGCCCTTCTGAAATGGATAAGTGGCTTCCAGGCAAGCCCGTAATCAGAGAGTTAAACCAAAATGTTATGTCAGGTACTATATCACACTGTTTCTTAATACTTAGATCTCAGTTATGAAGTTCATGGAAAACCTTGGAATAATCAGTGGCCTTATTCATGCACAATAATATATCATGTTTATCATCAGACGAATGAGCCACAACAAACCTTGAACTCACACAGTCCCCCACCTTCTTCTCTAGTGGGATGAAGCAACAAGGAGGCCTTTTAGAAGCTTTTGCTTTTCTTTCACACTAATCCCATTGAGTACATTCATGTTATGGTAAGCCAAGATGGCCATAATACTGGTTAAGTTGAAGATCTTTAACCATAATCTGAAATCCTGGCTTGTTTTAAATCTATGTGTTTTACCCACAATATTCCCTATTATTAGAATCAGTCTGAGCAGAGCAGATAAAGAAATCTCTGATCCAGTGGTTGACTGGATTTTTGCAGCCCAGATATGGCAATTCTAACTACATTGCAATGTGCATACTAAACCCAGTAATTAAAGCTTAAAGCAAAAGCTACTTAATTCTATCATAGGAGGATGAGAGGGCAGGGCTAGCAGATCTGGGCTGCAAAAATCCAAACAACCACTAAATGACAGGATAGAATCAACATTTTCTGTATCTCTTTGCTTCCATCCAGTGATCTTCTGGATTCTTGCAGTCTAGATCTCTTAACTCCATAAGAGAGAGAGGAACACAGGAGGGCAAGGTTTCTAAAATATTACAAACACTGAACTGGGTTATTATAGTGAAGTCTGTACATAATGATATATGATAGTGTTATAGGAACAAACTTGCAGGATTTCCCCTTCTTTCCTTCTGCAAAGCTTTGCTTCTGTTTCCACAAAGAGTTATATCTTAGTGCTAAATATAACCTGAACTTCACCCTCAGTTGAATGAAATGCTGCATTAAACTGGGTATAAAAAGTGCACTAAATGCAACTCTGAAATTCTAAATTTATTTTTGTAGAATGTTTAAAAATTATTTTTTAAAAAATTATGACAAACTTTTATTATCCTAGGGGAATTATAATTATATAAATTATACTGATATGAATGTTTAAAAAAGTGTAATGCTATTAAAGAGCTTTATTGAAAATAGTGTTTCAAAACAGTTTGTAACAGGTTTAGGTTAACAGGTTTTCTGTTAAGGTGAAAATAAACTTACTCATGGAGGGCAGTTTTTCTGGACAAGGTTGAGAAGGAGAATAAGTGAAGTTTTCTGGAAGATACATCACTGTCTGAGCAATACTCTCACTTGTACTGTTGCCTTCAGGATAATCTTAATAGAAATAAAAATATTCCCCATTAATCATTTCTATAATGTTTATAAGGTTGTCTTCCCAACTCATTTTTATAGAGTCATGTAATTTTATATATGCCCAATTTAACATATTAAATACATGCCTCTGATCTTAAATAATGTGTTGAGATTCGACTTAAGAATTCCTTTGGCCCTAAGTATTACTAAAAATAATTTACATAATTACATAAACATTCAATTACTATATAATATTTCTACCTGTGCCATTTAGTGTAGCGTTCTTGTTGGTGTACAGTCTGATCATATGTCCTATTGTTTTCACATTTTCTTTCAGCATTATACCTCGTGCTTGTACCATAAATAAATATGTATTTGCTGTAAAAAAATCATTCAAAATTAACTTCAATATAAAATGTAAAGTTGGATATATAATATCCTAAATCATAGGCAGAACGAATAATTTTAGGATAATTATTATAGACAACTCAAATAAACTAATCATTACAGAAAATTCAAATTGACAAAAATACAACATGTGGAATCTAAATATTAAATGCAATATCTTGAATAGCTTTGCACCACCCCTTGAAAGCTGTATTATATGCAAAGCATATTCTACTTGAACAAAAGGAATAATGAATTAATTAATCATAGGTCTAACTTCTGTTCTTGTCTCCAGTTTCATAAGTGATTGATGCTAATAGCACTGAACTTCTGTCACATAATCAGTCTGCAAGTGCAACAAAACCTCACATTACTAAATGTGCTTTTACAAAGTCCCATTCCATGTTACTCTTTGTAACACTGGTAAATGAAAAGCCACCAGGGTTCAGCAGCTTGCTAAAATGATTCCACCCAACACCAAATTCACCAAATAGATCACTAGTGGAGATGATGAATTCAGAAAGGATTTTCATTTCTCGACTGCTATGAAGCTTCATTCCCAATCTGTTTCTCTGAAGCTCCATTATGCTGCAGAGGGCAACACCATGGGAAATATACCAAGGGGGAAAACTCTTTTTGTCATTTTTGTAACACTCCAGAGTACAAAGGAGGAATACTGAATTTAGTGAATAACACAACAACCCAATTATATCTTTTGACTCTAGGCTGTTGGAGTGAGGCTGTTGAGGTCTTGTCCCACAGCCTGGGGCTGTGCAGGTCTAGATAGAGTGGAACCATCCCAAATCAATCTTACCAAGACTGAGTGGCTGTTGATGTTGGGGTCACCTAGATCTGGGGATATTACATCTTTAAGCTTTGATGGGGTAGCACTTCCCCATTCAAGAACTGTGTACAGTCTAGAGGTCTTCCTGAACTCACAACTCCTGTTCAGTGAGCAGATGGCAGCTATGACGGGAAAGGCCTTTTCACAGCTTCATCTTGTGCACTTCAGGTCAGAGTGATTCTTCCAGTCAGGTCACTGTTGGTCACCCCAAGGTAACATATTGGAAGTTGAGAGAGACCTTAGTTTTACTATTTGCCCAACCTAACTGTCATGCAATCTTTCATCCTGAGATTTGTGCAATGGTATTTTGTGAGCTATGTCAAGTACAGTACCTGGTATGGCTTAGTGGCTCAGTTATTTTATAGGAAAAAATAGTGAATTACTCCCTTATAGTTCTAGCTCAGATATCAACAGTTGATTTAACCAAGTCAGGAAGGGGTTTCATTAGTCATTATGAACAGTTTTTCTCTTGCACAAAATCTCAAAAATCATATAGTTGGGCAAAAGTGTTTCTCACTACAATATATATTAATTCCATATTTCGTTATATTCTGTCTCAAAACAACAATGCTATGGACACTTTAAAAAAAATAAAAGTAGTGTTGTCTGAAAAACTTGTTCTAGTTTTTATGGATACTGTTATTGTTCATGTATTTCAATTGTATTTTATGAATTTATATGCTGCCCTGTCACAAAGGGTATAATTAGGATTAGGGTTTTGAACATTAAAACCACACAGCATACAGGGGAAAAAATGCATGAGTAAAGATACATTATAAACTCCTTTGAACCCACAAATTCAACTGAAGTTCATTCCAAATATAGACCCTGCTTTAGAAAAACCAAGTTATCTATCAGTGTTAAACATATGGGACCTGCAAAAAACATCCCACTGAAGACCTGGCATGTAGGATGGACTATAGGCAAATTATGTAATTAGGTGAGTGCCAGTGAGCTAGACTTAAATAACTGTATACTTAAATACTTAATCTTTCTCTCTAGAATTAATCTCTTCTTATGTACCACACTATTTACTCTTGATCTGAAGAGGGACAAAATCATCCACTACCTTCATTTCTTCACTGCAACTGGCTGACATTACCTTTGGCTTCCTGAACCCGAAATTCTTAACTTAATTTTCAGCTTCCATTTTTACTTCCATAATGAACATTTCTGAATCTTTGCTTTCAACTAGTAAGGGTGAGCTGTGTATCTCAAACTGTTAGTATCTCTACCTCTGATTTTGATATCACCTGTCCAGTCTTGGCATTTATATATGAACTACATAAGTTGAACAGATATGAAGACAATATACATCTTTATCTCACTCCCTTTCATTTTCTACATTACTCTGATTCTTTGCTTTCCATTGTTACAGTAACTGCTTCTTCACTGTAAAGTTTCCTCAAAAGAATAATCAGGAGTTATGGCATATGCATTAGCCTTGATATATTCCATGTTCTGGCATGATTTAAATCAAAGGCTTTACGGAGTCCTTGGGGTTCTCTGAGCTTGGTTCTTTTCTTGCAAACGTTTCATTACCCGGCTAAGTAACATCTTCAGGGTTTGCAGCAGTCAATAAAGCAAACTTCCTTCTTACCTTTTCTTGCTGTCCCATTATTCATTTTGCATTAACTACCTGATCTCATATTCCTTTTCCGAGGAATTAGTGCAATTCTTAGGCAATGTACACATTCTCTTACTTCTTCCTTCTCCAATATATATCTTCTTCTAAGAGTCTGGTTCTATATTTACTTAGAACTGTTAACACTTCAAGTGTTTCTTTTGCTGCATCTTTAAACAGTTTAGTGGGTATTTCATATGTACCTACTGCTTTCCTATTGGGTAGCTTCTTGTACCTCACTTTTTAGTGGGGTCTGTTCCTCAATACATTGTTTCTCCATGTTCTCCATCTTTTTGTAATCCCATTTGTAAAATGTTTCAGTAAAGTATTTCCATCTTCCTTTAACTCCCTTTAGGTCTATTAAATCTCTTCAGAGAGTATAACTTAATTAATGTTACAGTTACCTCCACAACATCAGGAAGTTATATATCCTTTAATGAAACAAAATAGACTCTGAAATATGGATTGTTCTTTAGATATTTCAATCCATTGCTTTCATAGTCATACTTTATCTTGCTAAAACCAATAAGATAAATTTAGCTGATATATAACCTAAACTGTAAAGTCTGTTTTTGGTTGTATGACATGCAAATCCACATATTAAATTTAGTGCTGTGTGCAAACTAAGCTACAATGATTTGTCCAGAAGCTATAATTTTTAAAATCCTGTCAGCAGTGGCTGTCCATAGCAAGCCCCAATGACATAAAAATGAAGACAATGACACACATGCAGTGACATTGTACAGGAATTCTGCCACTGCATATTTACATTGTATGATGATGTGATGCAGACATCATGATTTGCCCTCTTGTCCCCCCTGGAGATACCCATGCTGTCAGGTTCATGGCTGGATACAGCTTTAGTTTATAATAGAACTAAATACTTCATCTAGTGGTGGGAGGAAGATCAAGTCTCTTGATGTAGATGACTGGAAAATAGAACCACTGGAAGGAATGAAGCAATTTTTGCTATTCTGCCTAATTGTGGTTAAAACAGATGCTGAGTAACACTTGCTGCATATTCATTCAGTGTGTGGTCTTGGCTTTTAAAATCAAATATGGTTTCAGGTCAGCTTAACTGAAGGGCCATTCGCCATCATATGAATCTGCCTCAAGCCTGGGAGCGGTATTTCTGACCCTGCTTTCTGGCATGTAAAAACTATTTCATCAAGCACAAGGCCTTCATAGTAGTGGCCTCATATATTTGGACCTCCTTTAGGGAAAGGATAACTTCCCCTAGAAATATCACTGCTCTTTTTTAAAAAACAAAACTCTGGACATTTTCCAAAACAATGTCAGGTTGAAGAACTTTAAGTGCTGCTGATGTTAAATTAATGTTTTCAAATTCATGGGTAAAATACTATTATATACGCTGCAAAATGTTATATGAATTGCTTGTAAGGGCAGCAAACCCTGAAAGGTACTCTCTATATAAAAAATATTGACTAGTTTTTCCCCTTGAAATAAATCTCTTCAAAAGCAGCTAAGATGCACCTGAATATTGTAAACACTAAGCAAGCTTTGTAAAATTCAGCATGGCTTTCAAAAACGTTGCTGAAAAGAAACCATTTTTATTTGTTTTCAACACGCAATCAACAAGCAATCCACAATAGACAAAAATGAATCCTACAAAGGAATAATCATATTTTATACATAAATATTTTAAACAAAAAAATAAAATAAAATAAGAGGTAGACACACTGTTTTGGTAGAAGAAACTGTTCAAAGAATTCAAAGAATTATTACAGAGAACTTTGGAGGAATAATTAACTCTTTGGGGTAAGCCATTCAATTACAAATTAAGTCACATTGTCCAACAAACCCCATAAGTTTCAGTCATCTCGCACATTCAAGCATCACCACTGGGGAGGGGTATGTGATTTTGCCAGCAGCAACAATTTCTATCTGGAATGCTGATTAAGCCAGTGTTTCATCCCCCTGAAGCAACATATGATCACTCCTAGAAAATTGTGCATTTCTCCCAGTAGGACACAAGAACACCCAGGTCTTTCAAAAATATAATCCACAGAAGCCTCCCATATTCTGTCTACAAGCAGCAAAGAGAAGTGAGAGAAATTATTTCCTATTTTGGTATTCTCCCACTAAACTATGGCATGTGGGAACTTAGACATTGACACACACAAATTCATCTAGCAAAAACTGCACCAGGGCATAGATATACATGTGCATGTGGGAAAACAGTTGCTACAAGCTCATGTCACCTTCCATCACCTCAAAGACAGTGTTTGTCAACCCTGCTGAGGTCGGGAAATGGTAATGTCAGCGATCTCGGGGGAAGGTGGTCCATGACCGGGTCTCCCAGCCCATCTGGGAGAATCAGTCCCCAGTGTTTCCCGTTGGGGCAGGCAGCTCTAGGGCGGCGCCTCTTTTAATCCCTCCCACCGACCTTGGAGGAGGGCAGGAGAGCTTGTCTTACCTATGCCAGGAGCCACATAGATGAAATAAAGGCAAGAGGAAGAAAAGGAGAAGAAGAAGATGAAGACGAGAATGGAGCGGTTGGAGACTCTCAGCGCCGTCCTGAAGAGAGGCATCCTCCTCCTTCCAGGGCAGGAGGGACCGCTCCCCGAGGCCCGCTACGCTGCCCGGGCAAAGCGCTCCCCGCGGAATGGATTCCGAACTAGCGCCGGGGAAGCGGCTTCCAGACCGCCGGAG